CTGGACTACCTCCTGAGTCACGGTGAACGCACCTTGGTTGAGACAATCAGGGAATACAGTAGGACAGCCATCAGCAGATTCAAAGCGGCAGTAGAACGAGTTCAGCTCGTTTGGCAGAGCTTGGCCAACAGATCCGATTTTCCCAGCACTAGGTTTCCAGGACGTGATGGCTTTAATACCGCTCCACATGCGCCGAGGGTCATCTTCCTTGAAATAACCCTTTAGCCTGTCCCCGTAACTGCGCTTTGCAGATTTAATAGAGCGTTTCAATGCATAACAGGATAGCTTATAGGCAACTGTATCGTTAGATTGAAACGCCAGAGCACGCTCATGAAGTTTTTGTTTCACTTCCGCGTTCATCCAAGGGTTTTGACTGAGATGTACTTTAATGACCTTCTGTGGGACACAGCAGTCAATACAGAAGCGTATGTATCCAGTCACAGCGTCACAGAATTCATTAACATCCTCTGACTGAAACACAGACCAGTCAGTGGCATCAAAACACCCTTGTAGCTTCATGCTAGCCTCCTCGGACCAACACTGCACAGTGCGTGAGGTTGGTTTATGTTCCCTGCTCCTCTGAGTGTATGAGGGAAGAAGGAGAACAGAGGAGTGGTCGGACTTTCCAAATGGAGGTCTGAGACTGGACCTGTAAGCTCCCTTCACATTGCTGTAGCAGTGATCCAGGATCTGTGCTCCTCTTGTAGCTCGAGTCACATGTTGGTAGAAATTTGGGAGTACAGTCTTTAAATTACATTTGTTAAAATCCCCAGCGACAATAATCACTGCATTAGGATGAGCAGTCTCGTATTTATGAAGGATCTTGCTCAGATCCTGTAGTGCTACAGTATTGCTGCTCGGCCCAAAAGATGCCCCCTCCTCTTTTGTGGATTTGGGTCCTTTAGAAGAATACTTAAAACCAACTGTGACAAACCTCGGTGTGAAGCTGGACAGTGCTCTGAAGCTTGACGTTCAGATCAGATCTGTTGTAAAGTCCAGCTTTTATCAGCTCAGGCAACTGTCCAAAGCAAAACCATTTGTTCCTCAGCATTTATTTGAGATTTTAATTCATGCTTTTATCACAAATCGTTTAGACTATTGTAATGCACTTTATTTTGGACTCAATCAGTCGTCTCTCGCTCGACTTCAACTTGTACAAAATGCTGCTGCTCGCCTTTTAACTGGCACCAAAAGGCGAGAGCACATTACACCTGTTTTGAGGTCACTGCACTGGCTCCCTATTTCATATCGTGTTGAGTTTAAGATAATTTTATTTGTTTTTAAATGTCTTCATGGTCTTGCTCCTCAGTATCTGTCTGACCTGTTGCAGCCCTATACCCCTGCACGCTCCCTGAGGTCAGCAGATCTGTCTTTGCTGGTTGTTCCCAAAACAAAAAGAAAAACCAGAGGCGACCGTTCTTTCGCTGTTGCTGGTCCTAAACTGTGGAACGCACTGCCCCTGCACCTCAGACAGACAGAGTCTCTTGTTCCTTTTAAATCCTCTCTTAAAACACACCTTTTTTCCTTGGCTTTTAACACAACCTGAGAAGTTCGACTTTGGAATGTTTTGTACTTTTGTTTTTACTGTTTTATTAATGTAATCCTCATTGTTGTGTTCAGCACTTTGGTCGACGCTGTTGTTTTTAAAGTGCTTTATAAATAAAGTTGGATTGGATTGGATTGGATAGTCCGCTCGTGGGTGAATGTAAACAGCACATAAAAATATCACAGAAAACTCCCGCGGAAGATAAAAAGGGCGACAGCTCAAGACCAGGCATTCCAGATTGGCAGTACATGTATGGTTCACGATGCGAGTATCCGTGCACCAGCGCTGATTAATTAAAAAGCACACACCTCCACCTCTGGATTTCCCCGTGGTCTCCTTTTCTCTGTCCGCGCGGTGAACGGTGAATCCCGGGGGCTGAACAGCAGAGTCCGGGACGTTCGTGTGGAGCCACGTCTCGCTGAGACAGAACACAGCGCAGTCTCGGGCCTCTCGCTGGCACTGGATACGACACAGGAGCTCGTCCGTCTTATTGGCCAGAGACTGTACATTCGCCAGGTAGATGGAGGGCAGAGCGGTCCTGCAGGAGCGGCATCTCACGAGCAGACCGCCTCGTTTTCCCCGGTGTCTGCGCCTCCTACGTCGGCTCCCGGTACCCAGCTCCACACTGCGGAGAGCACGGTGGAGACGCCCAGTCCCCCCGCTCTGTTCGCGGCCATTGCCGCGGCCCGCCTGCCATGTTTGACGGGCCTCACGAGTGGGGCACTCAATGAAGTCCAAGCACCTCAGTTCGGGTAAGACCTGCGATACTCCGCAAGCTCGGTCCCGAATGTAGAGAAGTGTCTCTCGGTCGTACTTCACGGTGGCAAGTGTATCACAGACGAATATAAACAACATAGAACAGACAGTGCACACCAGAGCTCTGACCCGGCGCCATCTTGCTCTCTCCAAATACTATCTAGCATCAATGTATTTGATGCTAGATAGTATTTGGACATGATTGTAAGGTGATTTTCATTTCTGTTCTAGCTCTTACGTTGGTTATATGAATATATGGAAGGACAAAATAAACTTCATTTTAACCATCAGTTCTGGCTTCAACTTTAAACTCAACTGGACGCTACATAGAGAGTGTTCAGTATCAGCCCCATGTGATGTACCATTAAAATAAAGTATAGACTGGGACTGTTCCACAGCTCTAGAGAAGTCCAGGGTGCAGACTTGGACTGTTTTTTTGGTCTCAATTCAGTTCAATTTATTTCTGTATAGCCTTAAGTCTCAACTGCATTCGTCTCGGCGGACTTTACCAAGTTGTCAATTCCTCAACACAAGATCAAAGACTCAAACAGTCTCATGATTGTGTGCATGAATCAGACTGAGGGGCAGTTCACTTTATTTTTGTAAACTCTTTTATCACAACAGCTATAACAGACTGGGGGGCAAGGAGTGAAATGCAAAGTTCAGGCAACCGCTAAAATTAAAACAGGCACAGATGTCAGACAAAGTAGGACAGACAAGAGCAGCTCTATTGATTATGTGGCTTAAAGTGTGACAAGTTAAAAAAAACAGTTGTGGATGTACACAAATGCACGGTGAACAAGAATAAATATTAGTGTTGCCAAAGATCACAGTGGTCTATTTATTTACAGTACTATCCTTGTGGGGACCTGATCCTTATGTAGAGCTTGCAGTAGCAGCACTTGACCACGAGGGTGAACACATCTCTCAGCCTGATACAGGAAATGACAGGTGTGAGCACAGAGCTGAGGACAGCAGACTGTAAGAGAACAGCACACATTGAGAGGATCTGAGCTTTAAGATGGAGTGTGTCCTGTGTCCACTGCTCTCAGCTCTGCTTGTGCTGCTGAGTTCTTATCCAGAGTGTAACGGACAAGACACAGTGAAGCAGGCAGCAGGAGAGGACCGAGTGAGAGAGGGACACACTCACACACTCATCTACAACTTTACAACCACAGGTTACAGCGACCTGTTCTGGTACAGACAGAAAGATGGTGATTCTCCAAAGTACATGATGCGGCGATCCACATATGACAAAGGTCAAAATTCTCCAGAGTTTGATGAACCCAAGTTTGGTGCTGAGCTCGTGGGGAACTCTTTGTCTCTGACGATGGAGGCTGTGGATGTGACTGACTCTGCTGTGTACTACTGTGCTCTGGAGCCCACACTGACAGGAAACACCAACACTCTGAACAAAAACCTCTGCAGCAAAGACAACACAATGGTGCAGTGTCTCCACTAGAGGGCGACACTCTCGGTGAGACTCAGAGTCAGACCCTGCAAAAACAACTGTCAGAAAGTAGAACGAACAAGAGCAGCTCTTCTCATCCTAAGGGCTGTAGACGTGTGAGGAGTTGGACAGACAGACAGGCACTTTATTGATCCCCCGTAGGAGATCCAGCAGCAGAAGACTAATCCTGGTCTATTGTACAGTCTGACAGCCAAAGGAACAAAGGATCTCTTCAAACGTTCCGTTCGGCAGCGCAGGTGTGATCACAGAGCTGAGGACAGCAGACTGTAGGATGTAGATCGAGGACTGAGGCTAGACGCAGAAATGAGGCTGAGGCTCGTTTTAATCTGCTGGAAACGGCAGAAAATCCTAAGTAGCTGTGAAACAGTTGTTGTTTTGTGCATTCCAATTGTAATTTGTATCTATTTTTTCAACCTGAAATGTTTCTGCAGTACAGTGTGCCTGGTTTATCACTGGTCCAGAGCAGAGCAGAGAGGATTCACGGACCAAACCGGACGGATCGGGCAAAAATCCACTGGAGGAATGCTAATGTTTTGAAAAATGCTAATGAAGCATTTGGCCTTTTACTTTGGACTAGAGCAGAGAAAATGCTCCAAACCAAATGATTGCATCACCTCTGAAAGGCCGTTACCTTTTATTACTATTGTTAGCTTTTTAGAATGATACATTTATTTGTTTTGTTTGTGTGAATGGATGTGTTTTTGCTGCTACTGGACACCTGCATTTCTCCCACAGGGATCAATAAAGTTTCTATCTAACGATCTAAACACAGGACTGTGGCTGCGGACGCAAAACTGAGGCTGTAGATCCAGGACTGAAGAGGCTTCCAGGGGGGAGAGGGTCCAGCCAATGATTAGAGGCCGGTTTCAGCGGTCCAGCAATGAAGCAGACAATGAGACAGCAGGTAAATAGCAATGAACAGCAATGTTCTCTGGATTCAAGCATTGACAAAATCACTTCTCTGTACTGCATCATTGCAGCTCAATTATTCATATTAACCTAATATATTTACAAAAGATGAATTTTATTACCTACAAAAGTGTGTGTGTGTGTGTGTACATTTTAACAGATCTGTGGGAGGAGCACATCCTCCTAAAAGCTCTGGAGCCGTAAGAGACGACACAAAGACTCATACTTTAGAAGAAGCAGAGGAAACATGAGAGGGCTGTTTAAGATGGAGTGTGTCCTGTGTCCACTGCTCTCAGCTCTGCTTGTGCTGCTGAGTACATGATGTGGCGAACCACATTTGGAGGAGAGCGTATTTCTCCAGAGTTTGATGAATCCAAGTTTGGTGCTGAGCTCGTGGGGAACTCTTTGTCTCTGAAGATGGAGGCTGTGGATGTGACTGACTCTGCTGTGTACTACTGTGCTCTGCAGCCCACACTGACAGGAAACACCAACACTCTGAACAAAAACCTCTGCAGCAAAGACAACACAATAGTGCAGTGTCTCCACTAGAGGGCGACACTCTCTGTGAAGAGATTTGGCTCCTCAGCAGGAACGTTCAAACTACTTCATGGTTTGTATAGTTTTCAAAGGCCTCAACATTTGGTCCAGTTCCAAAAGATCCTGGCCTTGGATCAGTGTCACTGGAAACAGGAAGTCTGGACTTGATGAAGCATCCTGAAGCTCAGAGTTTCACCATTTCACCTGCTGAAGACGATTAGACTGTAGATTCAGGACGGAGGCTGTAGACCCAGGACTGAAGAGGCTCCATCCGAGGACAGGTGCAGGTCAAAGAGGCAGGATCGTGGAGTCCTATCATCATGGCTTGAATCAGACAATGGAATACCGGGTGAATAGCTGTCAAACATAGATTTTAGCCTGGGACAGTCCCGTATTTCCAAGGAGAAGACGGCAGAGTTCACATACAAAACACTATAAAGCTGAGTGGAACGTGATCGAGCGACCCGGGACAATTCGTGTGTGTGTATGTGAGACCGGCCTGTGACTGCCTGCTTTACCTACAGCGGACCCACCCGGCCCAGCAGTGCAGCGGACCCGGCTCAGTGGCGCACTTTGTACAACGCCACACAAGCTGAGTATTGCAGGGACGTGAACGAGCAGCCTCAGATTGTGTGTGTGTGTGCGTGAGGGTTGGTGTGGCGTACCGAGCCCGGCCCAGCAGAGCAGCGCGCCAGACCCAGCCCCAACAGCAGAGCGGCCCAGCTGAGCCGCATTCCCCTCACCCCCCTTTGACCAGGCCGCTTCAGGACCTTTTAGCCTTATTTTAAGCTTTTAATTGCTGCCTATTTTAATTCGTGCCATGGGGCATTTCAAAGCATTTTTATAATTATTACTAAATAAAAGTATATAAAAGTCCACGCTGTGCATATTCATTTCTAAACAGTTACTGGTTGCTCCACACCTGACACAGCAATGAACATAATACAGTATCTCTCAAAAGTATTCATACAGCTTGAACTGTTGCACATGTCATGTTTACAACCATAAACATAAAGATTGTCTTTTGATTTTTATTACTGGGAGTTCACTAGCATCAGACAACTGTGAAAGTGAAAGTAAAATAAGTCTGTTTCTGTTTTTAAATAATAACAGAAAAGTGAAACGCTGGGCCTTTTCTAATGACTGCTGAATGTTCACACTTTATCCTAATGATTAAATAGTGTGTAATCTACTCTCAGTATAAAAACATTTGTTCAATCCATCTTTGTAAATGTAAAGAGTATGACACCACTGCAAACTTACCAAGACACGGCTGTCCACCTAAACTAACAGATCGAACATAGACAGTACTGGTCAGAACCAAGTGTCCTAAGATGACTCTGGAGGAGCTGTGAAGTACTGATGCTGAGCTGGGGGAATCTGTATAAGACAGAACTATCAGTCTCTACACAAATCTGGCCTTTATGGACGAGTGGCAAAGAAGAAAGCCATTATTAAGTTTGCCAGAAGTTATATGGTGGACACAGCTACCATGTGGGAGAAGGTGCTTTGGTCAGACTAGACTAAAATCAAACCTTATGGTACAAATCTAGCACTGTTTAGCGTGTGTGTGTGTGTGTGTCTCTGTGTGTGTGTGTCTCTGTGTGTGTGTGTGTGTGTGTGTGTGTGTGTGTGTGTGTGTTTTCATTTGAACAGAGATCTGTGGGAGGAGCACATCCTCCTAAAAGCTGTGGAGCAAGAAGAGTCGACACAAAGACTCAGACTTTAGAAGAAGCAAAGGAAACATGAGAGGGCTGTTTAAGATGGAGTGTGTCCTGTGTCCACTGCTCTCAGCTCTGCTTGTGCTGTTGAGTTCTTCTCCAGAGTGTGACGGACAAGACACAGTGAAGCAGGCAGCAGAAGAGGACCGAGTGAGAGAGGGACACACTCACACAGTCATCTGCCACTTTACAACCATCTCTTCTTATCCAACTCTGTTCTGGTACAAGCAGGAAGGACGAGGTGCTCCAAAGTACATGATGAAGATCTATACGGGAAACGTAATAAAGTCTCCAGAGTTTGATGAATCCAAGTTTGGTGCTGAGCTCGTGGGGAACTCTTTGTCTCTGAAGATGGAGGCTGTGGATGTGACTGACTCTGCTGTGTACTACTGTGCTCTGCAGCCCACACTGACAGGAAACACCAACACTCTGAACAAAAACCTCTGCAGCAAAGACAACACAATAGTGCAGTGTCTCCACTAGAGGGCGACACTCTCTGTGAGACTCAGAGTCAGACGCTGCCAAACCAACTATCAGTGTGAGAAACTGACAAGTGACGATTTAAAAAGCAGTTGTGAAAGTAAAGTATATTTAAAATGTTGTGGATGTAGACAAGTGCCCGGTGAACTAGAAACAGTGTGTGATAGTGTTAAAAGTGATCACAATGGTCTTTTATACAGTACTATCCTAGTGGGACCTTGTTACACACCAATTATAATGTTATTATTACACAGATTTGTGTTTGTACTTATAGTAGCATCACCTGACCACTAGGATAAACATGCCATGAAAAAGCAATGAGACAGTGGATAATAGTAAAGTACAGACCTTTATTCTTTCACTGGATTTAAGTATTGACACAATCACTTCTCTTAACTGTATCATCAGAGGTCAATTCTTATTCCACACAACACACATAAATACACAAAATGTATGTGCTTTAGTCCAGGTTTGGTTCAATGCTAGAAAGAATTAAGCTCTAATAACAAAAAATTATATCCATTTCTGTTGATATTATTACTGATGTTTATTCTGCTCATATTCTCCGCTGCTAAAGTACAATATACACATCTGTAAATACTTCTGAACAAAATGCAATTATAGCTCCAGAGTTTATTTCATTTTATTCTATTTTACCATGTTATTATCGTATTTAGTTACATGGTCTATTATCTTGAATAATAGACTCTGTTGGATGTGTGCAATCTGAGTGCTCTTATTTCCTTCTTTTTCTGCTGTAATGTGCGCAACAATGACACTGAAATATCCCTACTGTGAGACGAATAAAGGAATATCTTATCTTAGTTCATAACATAATAATTTCCATAAAATGGTGGCCACATCACACAAAAATTAGATTGGCCCTACATTATATACTGATATGTGGCCCCCGGAGAAAATAATTTCCCTCTATACCCTGGTGCTGGTGAAAGCTGATGACATAAGACTGTCTCACTGTGAGGAGGTGATGGGTGGAGGAGGACTACTGTATGAGCTTTAAGGTGGGAGGAGCTAAAACAGAAGCTAAAGAGAGCAGCACACACCGAGAGGATCTGAGCTTTAAGATGGAGTGTGTCCTGTGTCCACTGCTCTCAGCTCTGCTTGTGCTGCTGAGTTCTTCTCCAGAGTGCAACGGACAAGACACAGTGAAGCAGGCAGCAGGAGAGGACCCAGTGAGAGAGGGACACACTCACACACTCACCTGCAACTTTACAACCACTGATCGCTTCCCATATCTGTACTGGTACAAGCAGGAAGGACGAGAAGCTCCAAAGTACATGATGAAGATCTATCCCGGAAGCGTCATCAATTCTCCAGAGTTTGATGAATCCAAGTTTGGTGCTGAGCTCGTGGGGAACTCTTTGTCTCTGAAGATGGAGGCTGTGGATGTGACTGACTCTGCTGTGTACTACTGTGCTCTGCAGCCCACACTGACAGGAAACACCAACACTCTGAACAAAAACCTCTGCAGCAAAGACAACACAATAGTGCAGTGTCTCCACTAGAGGGCGACACTCTCTGTGAGACTCCGAGTCAGAGACTGCACAACCAACTTTCAGTGTGAGAAACTCAGCAGATCCACAGAGTTCACATGAGGAACACTCAGCTGAACTCTTTCCAGAACATTCACATAATTTTCAGACTGTTCTCTGAAAAACACTTGTAATCCGGTGGACTGGGATGTCATGTGTTTTGTTTGCATGTTTTTGGTTTTCTGTGTATTTTGTTTTCTTTCATGCCTCTCAGTCGCCGTGGTTACCCGGCACACCTGCCTGCCCCAAGTGATTACCAATCAGTACATCTGTGTCTGGGGTGGCAGTACAAAAGAGGCCATGCAGGAGAGACAGACACGAAAGGAGATGGAACGTGCGTGGCACCGAAGGACGGGCGTGCAGCAAGGCGGAGGGGAGCCCGGGAGAGGGACCAGCGTGCACCGGACCAGCACCATGGTACCCATTCTCTGGCCCCCGGCACCACGACGTGGACTACACGTAGAGGCAGGGCATTTGGACCCTGCCCTGCCGGTGAGTTACGCTCCAGTGTAGACGTGGTGTAAAGTGGGTGAAGCCTTGGGCTGAAGGGGGACCCTGGGTGCTGTGCGTGGCTGGCCCATGTGTGTGCGCTGTGTGCAGGTGCGGCGCCAGCGGCTGCGCGCGCGGGACCGGACGCCGTGGGAGTGCTGCCTTTCCTCCATCTGCCGGGGCAAGAGGACCGGACCCTCTTGGACTGCCATCGTTTTATTTCTTTTTAACCCTGTTTTTAATTATAATTTTATCTATTTTATATTATTGTATTAACCATTATTTTTACTCATTTTAGCCCCCCTGTTTTATTGGAAACACCCAGGTCTTAAATCCATAAATTATTTTATTCGGCACTTTTACTTTGCACAGTTTTTAATCTACCTTTTTAATCCCCCCCCCCCCCCTTATCACATGGTAGTCTGTAACTCTAAATTAATTACAAATTTTAAGAATTGTATTAAATTGACCTCCTGGTCTTAAATGTTGATTTATAAAGTAAGGCAAGGCAAGTTTATTTGTACAGCACAATTCATACACAAGGCAACTCAAAGTGCTGAACAAAACAAGAAAGCATTAAAATCATAAATAATCACAGAACATTAAAAAGAAAGATAAAAATATAAAACCCCCAGTTTTATGCACAGCTAAACAGCACTGTCTTTAACCTGGTTTTAAACATTGTCTCAGAGGAGGCCTGTCTCACATCTTCAGGAAGATTGTTCCAGATTTTAGCTGCATGAATCTGAAAAGCAGCCTCCCCATGTTT